CACAGTTTGGCAAAGAGAGACATCCATCCTTGTATACAGCGTTGGCAAAGATAAGAGCTTAGGAAGAGTTGTAGCACAACTGTCTTCTGCCCATAGCTAGCATGTGAACACAAATGGATCAAACCAGCTGGTGATGCATATCAAATCCAGAGCCACTCAGTGAAGAGTGCAGACAAGGTTCATATATATATTTTCTCTAAGTGGGCAGAGGAAGGTGAAGACATGTAGCGGATGAGGAATTGGGCATACTACCTGTGTAGCCTGATTACTTGTTCCATAGTCTCCGCTGTTCAGCCAGCAGGTAGCTCACAGGTGGCAGACGACTCCTTCCTCTCTGATCCTTGTTGCTGTCCTGTCTCAGCCTTCTTAAACGGGCCCTGGAAGCGTACTTGGAGAGTTAGCCGCAACGTCTGTGTCTGTGGGGAGGCCTGAGCAGAGGAGGGTTCAGCTGTTCAGACTCATGTGGATTCCAGGTGTTTTCAGAGTAGATCCCAACTCAGCCACACAGTGATGTCAAATGTCTGGATCCAGGCCTATAAAATTTTATTGACAACGAGTTTCCTAATAAAGTTAGTTTCTCTTTGTTTGGCAAATAGAACTAATTACATGAATAATGGACTGTGGGGCCAGACTCTAGAATATCCATATAATCCTGTTTGAAGTTTATGGGCTGTAGGAGGGGGAGTTTTTGCTATAGAAGAAACTGATACCTGCTTAGGAAAAATACATTCTCTGAAACCTGAAGTTACTCACTTTCCTAAATCTGTTTATTTTCTAGTAGCTTAAGTTCTCCTCCTGATTATATCTTTTAGGTGTATTTTTGCAAAGCTGCGTTATATGTAGTTGTACAGTATATGAACATTAGACTTAAAAAGTTTATTTTTCCCCTTAGTTTTCAAAAAATATTTCAAAAGAAGCATTAATTTAAAATTATTTCTGCCAGATCAATATCTTCTGAAAAGATAATGAATCCTGTAATTCACTCACTCTGATGGCAGTGGTTTTGTAGGTTTTAAAGTTTTCTTTTTAGTTAAATTCAGTCTCAGTGTGATAATTTTTTGAATGTAGAAATCCAGTTTTCTGCATAGCCTGAAAACCTGTTTGACAAAAATTTTCTGAAAAGTTGGTGTATTCATATAGTTCAGAATGCTTTAAAAAGTGCTAGGTTTATAATCTGTTATATGTCTTGAATAATTCTATAGGGTTTCTTGCTTTTTCTTTTTTTTTTTTTTTTTTCTTTTCTTGTGGTAGATATGGTCCGGAAAAAGAACCCCCCTCTAAGAAACGTTGCTAGTGAAGGTGAGGTGCAGACCCTTGAGTCTACAGGTACTGAAAGTGAAGAGTCTGGAAGGAAAAAAGAATTTTCTGCAGAGCAGATGCAAGAAAACACTGACCAGGGTGATGCGGCAGAGTTAAATAGCAAGGAGGAACTTTGCACGCATGTCCAAGAGCCATCTTCCAGCATTAAAAAGGACTTGAAAAGCTCAGTGCTGAGTGAAAAGGCTGGCTTCAATTATGAAAGCCACAATAAGGGAGGAAATGTTCCATCCTTCCCTCATGATGAGGTGACAGACAGAAATATGCTGGCTTTCTCATCTCCAGCTGTTGGGGGAATCTGTGAGCCCTTGAAGTCTCCTCAGAAATCAGATGCAGATGACACCCAAGATGTGGTCTGTACCCCGTCAGGAGATGCAGCGGAGACAAATGAGGAGCATCAGATGTCGCCGAAAGCTTCAGATGAAACAGTGCAAGTGCAAAGTGGTCAAACTGATGGCCAAGGCTCAAGCCCGGTCCCCATGGCCTCAAAAAACCCACAAGTGCCTTCAGATGGGGGTTTAAGGCTTAACAAATCTAAAGCAGATTTGTTGGTAAATGATAACCCAGATACGGCGCCTCTGTCTCCAGAGCTTCAGGACTTCAAATGCAACATCTGTGGATACGGTTACTATGGGAACGACCCCACAGATCTCATCAAACACTTCCGCAAGTACCACCTAGGACTGCACAACCGCACCAGGCAGGATGCTGAGCTCGACACTAAAATTTTGGCTCTCCACAACATGGTGCAATTCAGCCACTCCAAAGACTTCCAGAAAGTCAACCGCACTGTGCTTTCAGGGGTGCTGCAGGACATCAATTCCCAGAGGCCTGTCTTATTGAATGGGACTTACGATGTGCAGGTTTGTATTTTCCCAGCCTCCCTGCTTCTGCTAACTGCCTTCTCAACTGCAGAGTCAGTTATTTGCATCCTACCTACGTGATGAGTGTGTTTCATATGACCTGCTTAAGCCTTAAGAACCGTTATGGTCTATTTTATCCAGACTTCCTGCAGGTCTGCTGAGCATCTCGTACAGTAGAGGACTAGTTGGCTTTTTGACCAGTGATATTTCTGTGTACAATTCAGTCGTCGTGGAAATCAATAGCAAAAGATCTTATTCAGCAAACGGGCAAATTGCTGAATTGGTAATCGTATCTGAAGGATTTGCTGTCACAGAAAGAAAAGAGCAAATAATAATGAAAAATAACAGCCAGATAGACAAAAGACAGCAGCTGGAAATTAAAAATGTAATCCTAAATTACCAGCTGCCGGGAGTCAGGATTTGGCTTATTGATTCCTTATTAAGATAAAATAAATGGCAAGTCTTGGCAGCTCTAAAGTTGTCTAGTGCCAGGAAAATGGGATACACAATGGGTATTTAAAACATTTCAGAGAGTAACAGTAATCCACCCTGTCCTTCACGTTAGGGAGCCTGCAAGGGAAGGACTATTGCCTCAGTCATTTTTTCGTGTAGATGGAGCAGGGAAAAACTACAGATACTGCTGTTTTACAGATCTTTTTTTTATCATGGAAGAGTGGACTGAAAAGCTCTTTTATAGAGTCTCTGTTAGCTTCTTATCAGCTAATATTTAATTAGTTTAAAAAAAAAAAATCCTGCTTTAAAAATGAGGCAGCCGAGAGATGCAGTACAATACCTCAGTTTTCTATGATACAGAAATTCAGATTTTATGAAAAAAAATATCCAAGCAAGAAACAAGTTCAATTGTCCCTCTGATTTCAAGTGTACGTTTGCATCCGTGATGTCCAACCTGGTAGTAATCACCAGAAAAAGCTCCAGGGTATGTTAAAATGAAGAGGCAAGAGGTGGAAAATACTTCGTAATAATGCTTGCAGAGACTTTAGCTATAGGAAAGAAAATTCACAGAACCTGATAAGATGGCTAACATCTAACTTCACATAAGGAACTGAAACCGGAACATGAGTCAGGAACTCGAACTTTTCAAGTGATTTAAACTTTTCCTCTTTTTTCAGAAAGTCTACAACTTCTTAGTGGAGCAGCAAATCAAACTAAAGTTGTTACTATGCATAAAAGCTGCAATCTTTGAACTGCTGTCTTATTAAAAGATCACTTCACTGTCTTGTATCAGACGCTCTCTCCTGTCAAACCGTGATTAGAAAGCAAATACGTGATTTAGTTAAAAGAGGTTAGAAGTGAATAATGTCAGAATGTGAAATGATGGCTTATAATTAGCACATAGTATGATGTTAATACCTGGATTTCCTGCTATAGTTTCAGTTTGCTGACTCCAGGGACAGCATCTTAGAGCAACTGATCCGTGCTGTCAGGAAGACATTCAAACTGGAACAGCTCAGGCATACAGTATAGAGGAATTTGAGTTTCTAAACACACTTTCATTTCCTCCAAACAATTGTTTCGTTAGGTCCTTAGTTATTTATAGGAAAGTTTATGCTTGATTAGAATGAGCTGGACACTTCTATGCAGTGCTTTCAGAAATAAAACAGATGTGTGAGCTATCTCAGTTTGAACTGATAGAAGTAGAAATAAAACAGCTGAACCTAGACTATACTTGTCTACTAAAACCTGGCAGTAAGATACTGCGGGGAAGACAAAAAGCTGTAGGAAACATCCCATAGATAATCTACATAAGATCAGTCTTGTCTCAGACGAAAAACATTTTCCAAAGTAGAACAGACAGCGCATACAATGTTGGCAATTTATTTGAAAGAAAGAAAATTGGAACTGGAAACTTAAATTTTTAGGAGTGCTAATTTTCTGTGCCCAATTTAGGAAGAGAAGGTTAAATAATCTTTTGTGGCAAATGCCATACTTCATCACTTGCACATGCACCAGATGTTGATCCAGAACATGTCAGAAGATAAGTAACTGATTAATATTTTTATGCTTTCTCCTCCTCCACTCCCAATACAGAGCAGCTTTGTGAGATTCATAAACACAGTGAAAGAACATTAGAAAATCCCCTTTTCACCCACACATGTTTATATTGCTACTATGTCCATTTTGGAGGGAATTTTTCTCAGGCATCTGAATCGCTGGCATCTCCTGCCACAGCAAGGGGTCATATAGATTTGAGCTCTGGTTAAAATTGGTTCTGTCAAGCTGGTGTGTATCATGGAGGGAACTGAAACTGAATAATTGGTTCATCTAAACAATATTATTTTGCTTAGGTACTGGACTCAAAGAAAATAATCCAATTGTAATTAACTTGAAAAAGTAGTGGAATGGGTTTAAGGTCAAATTTATTGATCTCTTTGTACTTAACAGTTCTGTTGTGGCTAGGGTGGAAGTTATCGATGGTTTTATGGTCTCAGTCCAGTGAGCTGGGTCCAGAAGCCAGGGGATGAAGAAGACGTGACTTTGATGTGACTCAGTGGCTGGTCAGAGACCATGGTGTATGGAGATTTGTAGTAGTGAGGGATGCTGTTGAGCCCCCTGGTCTGCATTCATAACAAAAGCGAACAAAAAGCAATGGAAAAATGTCTGAGTCCAGGAAAAAAATCAGTATCTCCTATCTGCAGGTAGGTAGGTAGGAATGTGGTCTCTTTGCCAAAGGTTTGCAAGAAAAACATCAAATGCGTTGTTTGACTTATGGCACAGAAGTGAATTGTATCCTAGAAAACTTAACCCCCTTCCCCAAACCCAAAAAGACACACACCTCCCAACCCTAAACGAAGCTTTTAGTGTTTGGTGATTTGTTTGTTTTTTTTTTTTTTTTGGTGTAATGCAGTCAGCCAATAAGCAGGGATGCACATTTGGCTTCACATGCAGGTATGCAGATGTTGGGATTGTGTCTTACCTGAAGAGGATTTGGCTGTGAACTGTGTAAATAATCCAAGCTTTCTGGCTTTACTACTGTGTAGATTTCTTGCTGGACTTGAATATTTAATCCAGCAAGATTTCTTTGTCTTCTTTGAAAATGTTATTTTGTTTTGAAAATCTTCTGTACTCTTTGTTTCCATTTTCTTCTTCAGAGGTTTTTGCTTCATTGGATTGTAATAAATTCCATAACATCGGGTAAAATCACGGAGCTGTTTCTGGGAGATTAACTATCTTGCCAGTATAGACTTCAGAAAACATTTGCTAGTACATCTCTGAATTCCCATAGAATGTGTTAATCAGCTTTATTGCTTTTATCAGAGTAATTGAAGTGAGTTCAATGGATCAGCTTTTACTGATGCCCCTCATTACTTTTTCTTCGCATTTAGTTAATTGATCAATCTCTGTAGGCAGCTTTGTCTTGCTGGATATTTTTACCTGCGTATGGCTTTGTGGACGTGCCTAGAGCAGTAAACTTTAGACCAGATCTAAAGACTTCACTTTAAAGTAAAATTCAGGTGACTAAGTTAACAGCTATGATGCTGAAAACCATTCCTTTGTTGCTGTATGATTAAGTCTCCTTCTGTGTTTGATCTAATTACTCTTTAATTTATATGGAAAGGTCTGGAGACAGGCAAGTTGCTGACAAGTAGACAGGAGTCTCTTTTCCATCCCACATTTTTTTTTTTTTGAATAGTTAGGGGGACAGGTTCACCAGAAACATTGGAGAGTACTGTCTTCCATGCATCAGCCTCCAGTTAAGGTGTAGGACATTGCCCAGCGAGGCAGAAGAAGTGGGCTTGGGTCCTCCCTGACAGAGCGAGGAAAGGAGCCTACTTTTCCTGTTTCCTGAACAAGTGTTCAAGCCATTAGGCTATTGTGTAAAAGGGAGCACGACCCCATTTCCGGATATGCTTTAAAAGAAAACAGTATCCCCCAAAGAAAGGACAGAAATGTCTGCATTCAGGTGAGGGTTTCAGATGGCATGTCCCGAGGGAGAAGAGGAAGAAGCGTATTCGTGCAGCTATGAATAAAGACAGTGCTCAGCAGTTCCTTTGGTTGACTCCAGGCAGCTTCACATTGTGTGTGCTACCTTTGAGGAGCTTCCTGCTCAGCATGGCCCTGGTTCTGGAGCTTACTGTCACAGACCTACCTCCTCTTATGTTCAGCCATTAAAGACATTCAAACTCCTGTCTGAAAATGCTAAAAAGTGATTTTTTTTTAAATTATTTTTTTTTGTAATCCAGCCCTCTCATGTTGGTTATTTGATGGTTTTAAATAGAAGGCTGCCATATAAGATGTGAAATTTCTAAGAAGCCATTGACTGATAAAAGCCATCCAAAAATTTCTTGGTTGTATTTCAGTGAGGCTGGGGGGAAAAAAAAAAAAAAAAAAAAAAAAGGAAATATAAGAAAGTATTACATTATCTAACTAGCCCACAGACTAATGAGAGATTGGTGGTAGTTTTTTTACTTTTATGGTTTTAGACCTCCAATATTATGAGAGTTGTCCGGTACCACTCAGCCTCATCCTTTATAATATGAATATGTGAAACAGCTTTTCCAGGATTTTCATAGCAACTGAGAGCACTCCTGGATATCCAGCTACCAGGCTGCTCAGTGCCCTAGAAAGTGGCAGAAGTGCCCATGCATGCAGTGTGTAAAGCTCTCGCTTTTGTCTCCTTTATAAACCAGTGGTGAGCTCCATGTGTCTACACAAAGTTATGCATGTGTGTTTTCTGGATTTCAATATATCAAATCTGGCAGCTTTAGTGTTCTCATGGCAGAAGTGTGTGACTAGTATAAGGTCTGGTCTAACGAGGATTCAGCTGAATGGGAACCAGTGGTTTTATTAGGAGCTTCTGCTTTTTGTCCTCCACTCATATTAGCAGTTTGATAGAATGTGAAGCTGTAAAGGTAGAAGTGAAAAAAATGTAGGGAGTCTGTAAGGGTACAGATGTAATCAATGCCCCTTCTTTATGTTAAATGTTTTCCTCTACATTTTTGGTGGATTTGGCAAAGGGACTCTTACAGATACAGTGAGTG